TCCTATTCAAATTAATGTTCTGAGATAATCTCTATTTTTTGTTACTTTTGCTTGTGCAATGACAGAGGTTCATAATAAAGTGGCATTTGTCACTTTTGAAAATGCGGACATTTTGAGAAGTTTGAATGTTGTGGTCCCGTAGAAGGCGTCCAAACCGTCAATCAGGAAGTGCTCAGCTACCGCGCGTCGAATTGTCCGCATCATCTAACCTTATTGTCTTATTTACCGACAAAAAAACTCATACTGAAGATCTTTCATGACCTACTACCATTCACCCGGCTGCTTTTACCGTGCAAGCAGAACGAAAGTGAATCTCGATTGAATAGGTGAAATGGGATGGTGGAACCCCTTTCACTTTCTACCGCAGTCTACCGAAAGTGGCCGGCTCACTCGCCCGACCTAACCCAACAAAGCTCTCTTCACGCTTCCATCACATGATGCGACACCATAAACTCGTAACGCATATTTGTCGCCGGTGGGCATACAGCACGTTAGATATGCTTGATTTGTCACGGAATATGTGCTTGGTTTGAAATAATACGATTTGTAATAACAGCGATGCTACCCGAGTAGTAATTGAAAAAATCAGTTCATTAAGGATTATGTTGGGCACAAGTTGGCCCCTCTAAGAAAAAAGTTAGCTACGAATATGTATAACGAAAAGTTAAAAGGATCAAGTCAGTCAAACAGACTGATACAATTAAAATTTGTATACCTACCGTTTGTACCTCGCTGTACGTCGATGGATGGCCCTCCCCCCTTTCCATGAGAAAAGTTGCTGCGGGCGTTTGAGTAAATATAAATATAAAAATCGTAAAAAAGCGCAAAAAATCGTTCTCGACCTAGATCGAATGTATTTCAACACGTGTAATACAAATTTGAAGATGATTTCTCTCGTAGACCCTCCAAATGACGAGTAAATTGCAAAATTCTCCAAAAACGCTAAAATTACAGTTTGCGACCGAAAAAAATGTGTTTAACTAGAGCAGGTGTAAGTTTTAAATACTTAGATACATTGAATCCAAATCTTCATTTTATTTCATCTAAATTTCCAGTTATGGTTTTCGACAAAAGAACATTGATCGAAACGGAAATTAACCTTAGAATCTATGATTGCCGGCTTCCTATAATGAATGAGTGTAAAAACCTGGGACTCTGAATTGACACAGAACTAAAATACAAAAACACGTAAATTCGTAGTGCACCATACTGTATTTTGAAGCAGTTTTATCCACATAGGCAAATAATATCTACTTCAGTAAAGCTGTAACTGTGTGAAACATTAATTATATCAAAGATCAGTTATTGTGACAGTATATATGGCCCCGCTCTATAATATAGTGAACAAAGCAAATTATAGCGTATTCAGAATTCGTGCGTCAGATTTTCTTGCGGAATACAAAAGTTTGATCATATTTCTTATAAATTTAAGGAACTTGGTATTCTGCAGATTAAAGGCATGCAAAAAGTTCACTTATTGACACTCACACATAAGGTCTTAGCTACCAAACAACCACAATATTTGCATAATAAGTTAACTCGATGTCCTGACATAAATCAACTGAATACAAGGAATAGAAATATGTTAGTATAATGATATGCCTGTTACATTCCAAAACTATACATTATTTAATTTAAAAAAGAGGCTTAAACTAAAACTACAAGTCGAGGTCTGATGATGAATGCAAAATGCTGGAAAAATGGACTATTCTTGTAATTGTTCTGTTATTTTTTGTGTTGTTAATTATTTAGTAATTATTGAGAATTATGGATACATTTTTATTGGTGGAATGTTTTATTATATATTTTTTTGTTGTTTTAAAGGTTAAGTTGAAAAACTTCGCCTTTTTTGTACTTTTACTTAGGTACGAAATAAAGCCCATTTATTAGTATTATTATTATTTAGCTCGTTGACTATGCGAATTTATATTAAATTGCCAAAAACCGATTCAAGTCGCAAAAAAATTGTGAAAAATGACAATCAGGCAAACAAAAATCTGCCATTTCCATTTCACTTATGTCTTAGAGAAATCGTTCTCCTGGTTCTTCAAGATTTGAAAAAAGTAATCAACAGTAAGGAAGAGATCGTTGAGGCATCTATCGTACGTGGTGACAGTGGGCAACACTATTGGCATTTGTGTCGATCTTTTTCCAAAAAATGTTTCTTTTACATAAATGCAATTTTTCGCGAATTTTGGCATTTTTTCAGTTCAGGTCAGCGTATTGAAATACATTTGATCTAGGTCGAGAAAATGTTTAGCGACTTTTTACAATTTATTCAAAGCTTTGAAGGTATATGTCAAGCAGATCTCAGATTCGGATTCAGCGCATTGAAATACATAACCCTATAAGCGGGTCCAATCATATGAAAACCACAGCATAAGTTTCAGGCGTTGTGAGCATAAGGTGAAAAGTTCTCGTCCTGGCAAAGACGAATCAGCAGAAGCTTAGAATTCCTGCATAGATGCATATGTTGTAATAATATAACGATAATATTGTGAGGAGTTAGTAAAGTGAACTTTGGCACGTAGTGATAGATAACCATCGAATGTTTTCTTAACCCTACAAATTGATCACCCCTTCCTCTAAGTATATCACATGACGGTTCTGATATTAAGAAGAAGTGAAAAAGTAGAAAAGTATGTAACAGAGCAACATTGGTAAAGAGCAGTCAATGGAAAAAGGTATCTTTAATAACGTCAGTAACACAGCTTCTTTTTCAGAGGGCATAATCAATAAGACTCACTATTCAATAACCAAGTTGGAAAAAGTTGTATGAGCCAAGCTAGAAGGAACCAGGAGCACCTTGAGTATTGAGCTAAAAATTGGAACGATTGAATCATATGACGGAGTGAGCTGGAACGAATTCAAGAACATTTTTGAGGAGCTGAGAGTATATAGGTACCTACAGAAAAACGGTAAGCCCAGAAGGAAATATGAAGCCTTAATGCGAAGAAAAGCTAATAAATTGAACAAACTGAAGGGAGAATTCTGAGGATTTAACCATTTAACGAATCTAATGTTGAACCTGTTTCAATTTGTTCCTTCAATTAGTTTGTTTTCACGAATTCTTCAAGTGACCATCTTGCGTGGTTTTCATCGAGAGGGATAAACTTGAATATCGTGCTATCATCAAATTCTTCGTCTTGGATGGATTAACCCCTAAGAAAAATTTTCCGAAGCTAACAAAAGTTTGCGGGGTCTCCAAACACACCTGAAACCATTTAAAACGTCTACGATAGATATCATGTTGCACTGAGCTGAGTCCGTTATGTTATCGGAAGGAAGGGTGCAAAGCATCTTGTACACAGACCTATGGATCCTACCGATTTCATGTGGCGATTCTGTACCATGGATGAGACATATATCCACCACTAAACGCCAGATACAATACAGCAGTCGAAACAGCGGATGGAATCAGGTGATTCAGCACCAAAGAAGTCGATTGCATCTGCGGAAAGGTCAATCATTGTTTGGAGAACCTTTAATATCGATAGAACCTGCATGGTGTAAAAAGGTTCCTGAATAATCCGCTATAATCTGTCCATCATCTCAGAACATCTTTGGCTGCTACATATGCTGCAACGACGACGCCCGGAGGTGGACCCTTTATCATCTCCCACCTCCTTGAAGCTCATTTGACACTTAAAAAACTTTGGATGTGGTTCAAGCAAGACTTTGGCGCATATTGATACTAGTTCCTATGTTATGATGGAGATAACACCTCCGAGTCGCTATGACATAACCAGCTTCCGTTACCTGTTGAAGCATTTGGCGGGGAGCTAATGGCAATATGTTTGTTTGGCTATAGATGCTGGTGACGTCGTCATGACGTTCCAGTGATGAAAGGCCCGTAAAGAATGAAATAAGGTAAGGTGGGGCAAGTGCTGCCCAAAAAATTAAAAGTTCAAAATCGAGATCACAGAAAAAATACTTAAAATGTTTTATGGATGATGCATTTTAACCAGAGAGTAGCCTATAGTGTTCTCTACAAAACTGAATATTTTAGATTGAATTAGAAAATTTACAATTTACCAAAAATGTTGTTTTTTTATTAGGATGACAATTGCTGCTCTTGTTCCATACAGTCGGGGCAAGAGCGTAAAATTCATTACTGTAGTTAGTTTTGCTAAGAAATCAAAACGAGGCAAGAGCAATCATCTTTATATTATGGATAATTGGTTAGACACGAAAAATAAATGTTATCCTGGTCAGAAGTTGAGTGATGATCTTAGAAAGGGACTGATACCTTTTTGAAATGATACAAAAATACATTATCGATGGATAACACTCTTGTTTTTATTTAAGTAATAAGAATTTATCGTCACTTATGTATTTAAATTGCCAAAGTAACAAACAGTTTTACATTAAGTATAAATCCCAGCTTTAACAAAACCACTTCGAAGTATTTCAGGATTTGTTTCTCTCCATATATCTCCAATAAGTTTTGAAAAAATATTCTGCGGCATCTTAATACCCACGTTCTTACGCTGCCATTCTACTAGTTTAGCATCCCATCGAGTTTTTAGGGATTTGAAAACACTTAAATCAAGTGGTTGTAAAATATGACTGGTATGTGGGGGAAGTTTTAAAATTGTTATCTGGTTGTCGATAGCAATTCTAACAACTTCTACACTTAAATGAGTCGCATGACCATCGTAAATTACTAAGACTGGTCTTTCTGGAGGCAAACACTTAACGAAACTTTTTTCAAAATAGTTTTTAAACACTGTGCTTTCCATCCATCCGTTGGCGGTTGCTGCATATGTCATTTCGGGAAACTCGCTACCAGGGGGTGCAAGCCACTGATCCCAGACGTGCTTGCCCTTGAAAATTATTAAGGGAGGCGCCTTTTCTCCGCTTGCGCTGCGGCACATTAAGACAGTGGTGTTCTGTTTTCCATGCCCACTTGTTGTCCGTGTAGCTGGCAGTCCCCGTTGCCCAACGATTTTCGTTTTTGAAGGGTCTGAGCAAAAACTGCTCTCATCTAAGTTCCATATCTAAGATGGTTTATCCTCTAATCCAAGTTCTTTGATTGTATTTTCTAATAAATCGAAGTACTGGTAGACTAAAAACGGTTCAACATTCTTTTTTCGGGCAAATTCGACGCTTTGAGGTGTTTTAATAGAAAGCTTGTGACGACTTTTAAAATTTAAAAACCAGTCTTCACCTGGTTTGTCATTTTTAAACTGCGTCTTAATTTTATTCGTTTTAACGTAATCTTCCACTATCCCGAGCAATTCCTTTCTGGTTAGACCGAATCCCCACTTCTCCATACAGCGGATACAATCTGCCAGATACGTCTCCTCTTCAAAACTGAGATCTGTCCTTCTACCATAGGTTGAACTTTTCTGACCTCTGCGCCCTTTTACATGGTCCGAAAGTCTATTTTTTTGAATATGATACATCAAGCTAGCTATGTAAATACTCATTAGTCCACTCTTTACAATGTTTACAGCAGTCCTTAGATCTTCTTTTGAATATCCGGATCCTCTCTGAGATTTGCGAATATAATTGCGAACCATAATTTAATTCTGAAACAGAGGGAATATTTCAAAAATACTGTTGGGGCAAGTGCGTTTTAGAGACTGCACTTGCCCCTTTAAAATAGGCCGCTCTAGCCCCTGTACAAAAAAATCTCAGGGCAAGTGCAGCCTATCAACAAAAACTGTTTTATTGAAAATAAAAGCAAAAATATCGTTATCACTAGGAAAATGATAGAACAATAAGTGTACTTACCATAAATCAAAACTGTAACTCAAAAGATGGCCTTGATATTGACGGATGTATTAAACGTAACCTACTTGTTGCTGGACAATAATGGCGAATAAAATTTCGCGTGTTTGTCATGAACATAATACCGGTCGCTGATCTCTTCTGTTATTTTACAAAGTTGAGATGAATTGGGTAGATGAACGATCCATAGATGGTAGCACAACTTGACTGATATCCGGGAAATTTAAACGCAAAAGCTGCACTTGCCCCGTAAATGCTCTTACCCCACCTTACCTTATATAAAGATATGATGTATGTGCTTGTTCCAACTTAATGATCATCGTATGTTTTGATCGAGATCGTATGAATAATTTACCTATCCCTCCCTATCCCCCCAAACACACAAGCTTCTCTCTGTAATGCGCTCAGCTTGGCTTGGACAGTTGCTGCCTTGCCCCACCAAGCTACAGATCCATAGCTTATCATAGGTCTAATAATCATGATACAAAGCCAAAACATTTGCTTAGGCTTTATTCCGCAGTTCTGTCCACAGACCCTTCGGCAGTTCCATAGCGAGAACCTTGCCTTCTTAAGCACTGCTTGCAGGATGATAAACATTTCTTCAATTATTTTAGGATACGAATACTTATTTTCTTCTTGGACCCTCATGCCTATCAGATTCGTCTTGCTCTTTCAACTATTTGCGGTGTCTGTGGACATCGTTACGAAAAAAGCGAAAACGGATTCACCTCTCATGACACGCTGCAGTTGCAATGAGAGTACCCTGCATCGAGGCTACCGTCATCGAGAGTGCTTTGACCGTTTGCGCCCAAGGATATGAGTTAGTGGGTCAACACATCGAGTTGGCTGCGGCGCGAAACAAACTCGCATCAAGCCTCGCGCCGCTCGGCACAGCTAACTGCGATCCCACAGCTCGGATCGCGTGGTGAAAATCGACAGGATTACAGCGGAAGTGTCATGAGACAGCAATGACGTGTGCATGAGGGTGCGAGGGTGGTGACATAACCTCAACGATGACGGTCAACGAGTACAAGGAAGCCACCTGTGCCACGGCTGGGGCCCAGGATGACATGGAAATCGAGGAAAACGTCGTTGTGGCCGAGCACCATCAGAACGAGGCAGAGGGGGAAAACCTGCTAGGGAGAGTTTTGGCAGGTGAGAAATCGTTACGATGTATGTTATCAACAATTTATATCTGGAGGATTTTCTCATGCCTCTATAGAGTGCAGAAAATCAGAAAGATGGCAGCTTTCAAATAGGGGATGGTATGAGGGGATATTTAGCTGTGGCACCCAAACAATTCTTTAAGATTTTTGTATTTTAACAACCATCATTGAATATTGCATCCCATTTAAATGTATTTCTATACGAGGGCAGTTAACAGAAGTTTCCTATTGGTAAAGTAGATTATGTACCTGTATATTTTTTAAGTATTCGCAGTTTAGATAATCAAAATACATTCCACCTCCCCCAAAACATCACTATTAGGTTCAAATGCTCATTCTTGCTAAATATTGAAAACTTTTTGGGGCATTTTTCAGCCCCTTGCAAGACTTAACCTTTTCAACATTTACCTATTCTCCCCTCCCTCGTGATCACCCATTCATCATTAAGATCTCGAGCTGTTTACATTCTTTTCTCATCTACGTTTTGTAGATTTGGGGTTATGGTCTCATTACCGCTGATTGATTGCAAAAACTGTTTGTATTATTTAATAGTGAATTGAGTTTTTATTAGAAATTAATTTGAAACAATATGGCCGCCGTAGCATGCGCATGCGCAGAATACGTATTGAGTAATATCAACGACTGGTTCTTTAGCTTCGAAATAATAGTGGAATATAAGCTTATTTATTTATCAAAATATAAGGAAATCCGGAAATTATTTTTCTTTGATTTATCGTTTCTGTGAGTCTGTTATAATGCTTTTACCGATTCTCCATAATCTCGGAAACTGTATGTGCGCTTTTCCTAACATCTCTCATTCGATTTGATCTAGATTTCCAGCGATATCCTGTACCTCCTGAATTTCAACAAATTTTAACGAAACCAATTACGATTTTTACCAGAAAATAACAAATTTTCATAAAACTCTGAAACCTTGGCATATCATACACATGATATAATGCGAATGCATATTAATTCTGCTTTTTCAGAAAATCGATAAATATACTAACGACAAAAAATCGAGATATTCACTACCGCTTCAAGTCCCAACCCCCTACAAACCCCAATCTCACACAAGCCCAACCCACCACAAGCTCTCCCTCCCTTGTCCCCAACCCAACAAGTCCCAACCACTCACAAGCCCCAACCTTCCACAAGTTACAACCCCCAATTTTTAACCTTATAAATTGTTTTCTTGTTAAAGGTCATTTAAAACTAAATTTGAGCGATTTTTATTTTTTCATTTTTTGCCTCCAACTTCGTCGCCACTGCACCGATTTTCAAACTACAAAGCTTTTCCGTCCTTGGTATGGTAGTAACCTTGCTTGAAAATTTAATCAAAATCTCAGATATAGTTTCGAAGGTATAGAGGGGGTAGACATGCCGACCGAAATGAGACATGGTTTTTCACATAATATCCAAAAAACAGATATCTCATTTTTGAATTTTTTTGTAATTGCAATACTTCCTCGCTAGTGGCGCGGAAAGTAAAAAATTAAAAAATGTTACATATTACTTTGGCTTCTTTTCCCCGCCACACCGTAAGAAATAATGCAATTGTTTAGTAGGTTGGATCCTTCCACTACTTCTGTCTGATATTTCCTATTATTTTGTCATAATGCATTTGTTCTGTTTACCTGTAGCTATATATAGTGACCCAATTGGAGATTTAGCTTTGTTTTCTCCTACCTGTTCTCCAATAAAATATTCTCAATAACGAGTATATCACCTACTTGCAGGTGTATTGATCGTTTTAAATTTAGATATATTGGCCTCATTAGAAATACATAGATGACTATGAATTCTTAAGAAACATCCCCTATTTAGAGCAAAAAGTCCAGATTATAGGAATTTATGAATAATCGCGTTACGTCATAGGGTTAACGTTAATAGAGAGTTTTGGCAATGACAAATACCGCAAACGTAAACGTGAATTTCAACGTTAATTCCACATACGACAGAAGGGTGTGACGTTAACGTTACGTTCTGTGTTATTTGTAATTACCAAAACTAATATGATAAATACGATTGTTAACGTTAACGTATGTTTCGATTACCCATAAACACGAAGAGGAGGTTAAACTGCGTAAGGGATAAACTTATTCATATGAAGACAATCGTGTAACCAAGGAGGAAATCTAGTGCGCGTTGAACATGTTGCAGGGCGTCTGCTTCGTGGTTTACAGTCAGGATGACAGCAACACAGAGAGATGCCACATGCGTATAACCTGAAATTGATTTTATGCGCATAAACCTTTAATTCAATTCGGCTATGAGGCGAGTCTGGTGTCTCTGCTTCAGATTTGTGTCCAGGATTAACGTAAACCAATCACTCTTCCCTGGGTTTATCTTTCTGGTTTATCTCCCACTTTTGTATTGCCAAAAATATAGGATATTACTCGTTATAATAAATAAAAAAATAAAGTTATTTTACTACTGGCGAGGAAGCATTGTTATCGCGAAAAGTTTCGACAATGAGATATTATGTTTTATGTACGTCTCTGTCACTTATTTCCGTCGGTCTGTTTGTCTGTAAGTCTGTCTGTCCGCTAATCCTTGGCCCGTCTATAACTTGGAAAGTACTTCTCGGATTTGGATGAAATTTTCACACAAGGTTACTGCTATGCCAAAGATGAAAAAGCTTTATAGTCTTTGAAAATATGTTCAGTGGCGGCGCAGAAAAACGACAAAACAAAAAAAAATGAAAATCGCACAAATTTACTTTTTTGACGTTTCAGAGGCTCCTGATCATTTTCGGAACACATTTGTAGCGGTTAAAAATTGGGGGTTAGGGTTTCAGGGGTGGCGGTGGGTATATCTCAATTTTGACGTTGGTATATTTATACGCCTCCAAGGCACCTTAGACATTTATCCTAAAAACCTAGAAATATCTCCAACAGTCGCGTGTCGACACGCGCGACATGATCCAGCTGATGGTCGTACGTCGCAGTGGTCAGTCGCTTCCGCGCTGCAAAACTCGATATCGTCATCCACGCGGGGTTAGGCATAGCAACGATCATGTGCGCCCGCAGGAATTTCTCTCAGGGGCGAAAGAAGGTCACTTAATTTTTTGTTATACATGTTGGTAGTTTTTTTTCACAGGAGGGCTAACTTGTGCCGAACATAATCCTGATCACAGCGTTGCGTGTGAAGTACATAGTCAACTTACTTGAGGGCATCTTTATTATGGATGTGGCTCAAAAGTTAGATACTGAAGTCGACAGTCAATCGATCTTTCCAATCTGTTGCTGCACTGACTGAATCGCCACGTTGATATGCCAGAAATCTTGACAGGCCATAGACGTTAAATTAGTACAGGGTTGATCGTGCTGTTGATATTTAGGCTAGATCAAGACTGTCTATTTGTGGATCCACACGTATTTAGGATAGGTTAGGAGGATAGGTGTGCAAAACATTATATTTTTTAGTGCATTCAAGAACGTATATTTTTAGCGAGGTCACAAAAAGTTTGACACTTTAAAAAAAATCGTTCTAGTATTTTCGAACGCTATTTTTGATTCATTGTTAACGTTGATGACGGATGTGCAGGTAAACTGCCACTACCAGTTTTTCAGAGACCTTTAAGACAAATGAAGAGGGAATATACAGGGTAACTTTTTAGTCGGGGCTTCGTCGGTAACTCTGATATTGTGCATGGTATCTAAAGCAATTACAAAAACTAACAGTGCGCTGATTTATTAAAAAATATGTTCATTTCTACATGGTGACCCTCACATGTATTTGGGTCCGAGGCCTCGTCACTCGGGTTGGTAGGCAACGAGGTGCTTCTATCTATTCTAGCACACGTATTGCATGCTTCTCGCGCTTCTCTCTAGTAGACATTACGACGTCAGGGGTATATAGATTTCACTGTATATAGAGTTTTATTTTCAAATTGTTGGGATATTAGACAAGCTACCGAAGTCGCTTGAAAGCTTATCCTCTCTTAGAGCAGGACAAATAAATATAAGAGCTAGAGGAGCAGGCGCGAATCCAAGGGATCTAACGATGCCATTGCCCCCACCAAAGACCTCAGAGTTGCCGGAAAAAATGAGGAAAGGGGAAAGAAGGAGAGCCAACATTGTATTTGTTTGAAAACTTGAAATAAATATGCATTTTGTTCGCACACTGCTGCCTATTACGGCTTGTCAATACCCCCTGAAAGTAGGCAACCCACTCTACTTGCACCCTCTCCCCCGGATCCGCGCCTGCAGCGGAATCCCGTCTGTCCTAATCCGTCTTCACCTTATGGAAACAAGAGGAATGTGCCCAGGGCACCAGATTGATGGGAGCCCCAGAATGCCGAAAATCAAACTAAAAAAAAAACGTTTATGCCCCCACTCAGCTCTTCAAATTTTCCCGACGCCAAAGAAGCCGCCTCCGAGCTGCTATGTGGCCAGAAAATCCCCACAAGACCTGTCTATGGATTATAGAATTTTTAGGTAACATATTACCCCTTAAAAATCTCCGTTTATGACCAGCAAACCTGCTGTCCTGCTGTACACCCACAGGAAACTTCCAGCAGTCCTGCGCGCAAGTGTGTAGCCTCCCTAACAGGCTCCACAGCCGTTTTCACTTTCCGCACGATCGTGGATCTAGGGCAGCTTGGACCTGGCGCGAGGCTAGGGCGTTCACCTCGGCCTTCAGCGATCCATCTCTCCTTCTCTCTTGTTCGTCCTGTCTCACTCTGTCGTTCACTCACTTTTATTCCAACCTAGCTAGGATCCGTGTCAACGAATGAACGTTGCAGGGGGCAGTGGAGGAGTTATCTGTTCAGAAATTCTTTGGGAGATGGATTTTAAGTTCTAAATACTCTACGCACAGGCTTTTGAAACCGTAAAGCAAGAGCTCAAATACTGCACGTTTGCTACAAAGAAGCTAAGCATTCGGTCTTTCTGGACATCAACAAGACTTCTGGTTCAGACTTGATTCCTGCTATGGTACTGATGAAATGTACAGCAGAGCTTGCTCCAGTTTTATCGCATAAATGTCAGGATTATCACGAATCCAGTTCTTTTCTAGATAAATGGAAATTTGCTCAGTTTCAACTAGCCCCAAAAAAGGATCTGAGACCGACCCTTACAACCACAGGCCTACAGCTCTTGTTTCTGAGCAAGATGATGGAGAGCTGCGATAGTTTGGAGCTTCTGTTGTATCTCTAGCACCATACTTTAATTAGCGACAGGCTCTATGGTCTTAGGCACCAACAAGGGACCTCCTGGCTTACGCCACATAGGTATGAAGTGAACCTATTCTGACATATGGTGAGTCTCATATCGCTGCTCTGATATCAGGAAAGCTTTCGATCTGCTGTGGCATGTCGCCCTCTTATAGGAACTGCCATCCCATGTCCTCCCAGTAGATCTCTGATGAACTGGAGAGAAGGAGATCAGTATCGACCTCATCTCTGATCAGAGATCAAGAAGTTATCACTGCATAGGGACGCAACAATCTCGTGCAGCTTTGTGTTTCTAAAACAGGTAGGCAGTTGAATCGGATTAACCAGATGTCTTATATGAATCGCTATGCCCCGGTATTTAGGTTTCTGCCCACGCGGCAAAAATGCACGTCATTGACGATCGGCTATTATTTGTTGTTACGTTTTACTGTGTGGAAAATAGTGTACACCACTGGATGCTAGCTTTCGGTCATTTGCTGATCCGTACGTCTCATGTGCGTGAACGCAACGCGCAACGTTTGCTGTTTAACCTCAGCTTTAATTTCATCTTGCCCCAGATCGGCCGGCCGTGCTATCCGATCCGATGGAGGTGAATGCACTAGCCTCACGCCGGGTACACATCGACCTCGATTATTATGCGCGCCACACTGGGTTTCTAGATCTACAACATTGTTGCCAATCTTGATATTGTATGGAATTCTGGATATTTTAGCGCTGAAACGACAAGCACTACACTCCACAAAACTGATTTTTATCACTGATATCATTTTCAGTACTCAGGGGTGGAATGGAAAATTAGCCTTTTAGGCTTCCTAGCTTCTTTCAACTCTTTGCGGTGAGGTTTATCTATTCATTATGAAATCATTGATTTTATATTGTAGACATATTGAATTATCACTAGTGAATATAAAATGACCCTACAAATGTCATACAGTATATTATCGCTGGTGTTACACAGCCATTCATCATAGGACGCATAAATGGCAACACTGTCTTGATGATACCTACCTGCCTAATGAGAGGTTCGCCCTGTAACTTGGCTCCCTGTCCCCGATCTACCAAATCATACAGATCAAACAGCATTCGGATCAGTAACTCAACTGATTAAGGTATTTTCACCAATCCGGTCCTCCCATTTTCACTATCTATGATGTCCCAGCTACTTATGATAAACCAATGAATGCTAAAATGAAGGTTCTTATTACGTTTCAATTTTTTTCTATATCACACTCAATTATTATGATAGCATTGTTACCTTCAAATGAGTAAGCAGCTAAATCGTCCCATTATTTGATTGAGCATTGAGAAAAGTAACGTTTGTTGTGAATGATACAAAGCCCCACAACTCAAGTTGAACGTTTTTATAAGGTATTGAGCTACTTTGTTGGCTGTCATTTATTTGTGGATTAAAAGCTTAAACAGTAATATCGTAATAATATCAGAATGCCATCAGGAGCCAAGTTATAAGCCGCAAACAGTTAAGGAAGTCCAAAGCTACATTTAACTTTTGAAAGGATGATGATGGCTCTCGGCTAGAATGCGTGAAATCATTGATTGGTTGAAAGGTTCACTTTAAAAACATTCTAGAGAAAATATAATAGTTTTTTGAAACACGTGTAAGTGAAATATAGTAGATCTCTTTGACGACAGATGAAAGCGCTGTGTCATTTCGATCAAGAATAATTTTAGCAAAATAGAAATTGCTTTTATACCGGTGCTAGATACCTCAGTAAAGCTTTATGTACGTAAAATTTTCTTCCTGTTGTTGCATGCCCACTTTGAAAAGAAAAAAGGATCATTCATTTATTTTTAACTAGTCAATGGTTGAATTTTTATGTACCTTGAGAATGTTTACCTGAACAGTGCTCTCAGATTTAATTTAAAAAGTTTTTATTCATCTAAGTTACTTTAAGTAATGGCGCTTTCCCTTTCAAGCTGTTCAGATCCTTAAATCCCTCTAACTGTACGACCTGATGCAGTGATTTTGACATAAATAGGAATGTCAACAAATTCCCTTCTCAGACTTCAGAGGAAACTGTCTGTTTAGTATATATGTTGATTTTGAGAAAAATGCTTGTTGGGGAACCCCAAAAATGGTGAAAGGGTCACCCTTTTTTACCATGGCAGTCTTTAAACTTACACGTGTATCAGTATAACTACTTCTAAAAAGAAACTCCTAAAAAGCCACTAAATCATCTGTTATATTTCTTACACGAAAGAATGCATTCCAAATATAACTTTTTTGAAAATTAAGTTGTTTGAAAAAATGGCGAAAGTTCTACCTTTCTAGGACCCACACCTGCTCACCAAGAACAAAAATTTATCAGCGTTTGTGTATAAAATTATATCTTTCCCTAGATTATCATTTTTTGTTCAACAAAATTCGCATCATTCAGGAGTTTCAACCCAATGATGAAATAAAGTCTTACCTGCCAACAGTAATCGGGAAGCAAGGTGTGCCTAAAATGTATCGAACTCTGGTAATGAAGAGTCTCACACTCTAGCCAGGAAGGCTTGATGGGACAATTCGAACGTTTCTGCTTGAAAGCGGGTATAAGGGCTTTCTTCTGCCCAACAACGGAATGCAACAATACGTACTGGATTTAAATCCATAAAAGATTATTTAAACTTCTAAAATCAAACTAGGCAAAAAGGGAAGAAATTAGTATTAACACAGCATACGAAAAACTTTGAAGAGCTCAGAACAAACTTAATAAAAACTCTGATTATAAGACAAACGTCTGTGACACAAACTCCATACCAAAACTTGTACTATCTACTTAATGAAATTGTATTTTTAAGTTTACGTCGATTATTGCAAGTTAAAGTATCGTGGCTAGTGCTTATGGCATGGTGGACTGGTCTGGTTCAGCACCGTTGCCAGATACTTGGGACCAGTAAGAAACACTAGCGTTCATTTAATTAAATGGAGTATGGACCTGTTTGGCTGACTTGATCCATTTCATTTCTTATTATACATCTTTGTAGCTAGCTCGGAGGGACTATCTTGTGATGAATGCAATCAACTATGAACTGAAGACAGCATTGCTTGGGAAATGCACAGTCAACCTACTTGACTCCATTTCTTACAGTTTACATCGCAGCATGCACTGTGACGCATCTCGCGAAATTGAATGTTATTTCCATGAAAATAAACACATTCAATGTGGAATTGTAAACAATTTAACATATTATGTCAAGCCACCCACTTAGCACACTGCGAATGCGAATATAAGCTGAAAAATTTGTTTCTTGTCACCTCAGTTCAAAAACAACCCTAGGCTGGAATGATTTAGTTAAATTTGGCAACAGCGATTTGCTTCAGTAGCAAATGTGATGTTATTTTGCGGGCCAATCTCCGTGGCCGAGAAGACCAGGAAAATCGAAAGCTTGAAGAGAGGGGGTGCAAATGCAGGCAACTAGGGTGACTACGTGACTGAGAACGCGTGGGTGAGGGAGGATTGTAAAACGTTGTTTCGAAAACCGGAGGCAATGTGATTACGAACCTCACTTTCGCTATTCTAGAATTCTGAATGCGAATTTTTTGGATTTGGTGAAGGCGTTGTTATAAACCCTTAAAATGCGTGAATTAATAAAATTATCTGGAATTTTATTAATTACAGGAGTCCGACGGGTCAAACCATGCCTACCGCCTTTTCGCTCGATGCCGAGTTCCTGTTAAGTGTCCTCGCCCCGTCGACTCCCCGAAAGGGTGCCACGACCCCTCTTTATGCTTTCCCATGAAAATAAACAAAACTCGTACCAGATGTAAACAAATGGAAACCATTAAATATAAATACATTGCCGCTCTTGAAGGGATTCATAACAGCAGTGATGGCGATTTCTATCAGAAGAACAAAGGCTCAGAGAAGGTTCTAGAAAAAGTCATGGGGAATTTTTAATATAAAGTCCTCCTCAGACACGATTTTGAGCTGTGTATGAACAATAAAATGATTTCGAAATCTGAAAAAACGCCACATCACTTTCATTAAACGATTGAATTTCATATCACTTTTCCTGTATAAAAAACTATAACAGGCTCTAGGCTCTGTAACATTTGTATAATATTTATTTACAAACGATCATACAAAAAAGTTAGTCTGGCAAAAGTTGTGACCGGCGAGAAGTCACTAGCAGTGCTAAATATTGCTTTCCATCAATGTTTTACAAGGTGAATATAAAAATTATCGATTTAGTTATGCTGGTCCTACTTTTACTTACATTTCTATCCTGGTTTTGTCTTTTAGAAAATAAGTTATGTCTGGCAGTCCCTGGGATTATGGTTTACGAGCCTTGCTTTAAGATCCGCTAGATAGGCGAACTTCTAGCCTTTTGCTTTACGTTCTGAGTATGTCAAGAAACTGGTCTACACAGCCTCTTCTTTGTTTCTATGATGTCAAGATTGTGAAACAATCTACCTGATGGGTTCTTTTTCTCAGTTCTACTAACTTTAGGCAACTAAAACATTGAATGAACATGTTATCTTTATTAATTTCTTTTTAGCAGTCGCGTATCTTGTTATCGAAGTTTCGGCCCTTAAGACTGGTTCAGTTTAAAGTATCGGTACCGGAATTTTATAGAGATAACGCCTATGTTTGCGATCTGACCCACTAGGCCTTTAGCTAGTCGGATAGCCCACGCCACGCCTCCTCGCGGTGGACGCCACCTATAGCGAAATTGCACAAAGAACCGCTTAAACTATATATATAGAAGCTATGAATGGCCTCCGCTTGAGCCATCTCTGCAGCAGATGTTACATTAAATCGAACACATCACATCGACAGCATATACTTGACGTTTAGGCAACACACACAGCTACTACAAGTGAACGATTGTTCATACGTAGTAGAAATGAACGCAATGACGACGGACAAGCGCCATCGTTTTCACTTTACGGTTCCTTGATCAGGGTGCCGATAAATCCCAAACTTCTAAGATACGACATACAAAAAGATATTTCAAACTGAATCGTCACTAAATAAATCGATCTGTTTAGAAGTCATTTGCATGGATACAAATATCTGTAAAGGGGATCTGTCATACAAACAAAAACATCATTAATTTATTTAAACTTGATTAGCTATTACTTTTGCAAATATTCTATTGTCAGGAGACGCCTTGCTCACTTTTTTCCTGTTTATCACTTGATTTTTGGATTATAATTAACTCTTAGCAGCTTTTGGTTCTGCTGTGAGAGCAATTCGGTCCATTTTCTTTTTCTCTTCATTAAGAACTTCATTTACAGATATTTTTTACAATACAATCTCAGTTCTTCAATGACCAATAATAATAACGTGGGCATAAAAGATACAATCAGAGAGAGAGAGTGTATTCTAGAATGTAGGAGAGTCTTCCAAATCAGGCTAAAATAACAGACCGTAACCATGCAACGAAAGTGATAGTGAAACGGTAGAAAGTGAAATTACTGCTGTCCTACAAAACAGTCTAAGTATCTCTTCAGTAATAACTTTCTCTGAAGAACATAAACAATCTACTTGCACTCTCATTATTTATAGTTACACAATTAGATAATTTTTATTTAATAAAAAAGAGTGAATAATAATACGCTCAATGGTTTATGTAAGTGGAATGTTTAGTATCATGTCTGTTATGCATGTTATCTCAGTGCTAACGGTACTTTTAGCGAAATCAAAGCGAAGATTGGTGTCATTGTACCCTATATTTGTGTGTTTTGAGATGAAAATGTTGAGATGCTCTTGTCATTTTAATGTGGTTAATAAGATTTATTGAAAACTTTCCAATTTTTAAGAAATGCACTAAAAAACAATAGATTAGAGTATCCAGAAATTATGATACCGATACGAAATTTTTGCTGTGTAATTTTTTCATGAAACAACAATGTCGAAATAGTCATTTTTTCGTACATTCAGAGAACTATAAAGTATTGGTATAAATGTTAGTTAAATCCAGGACTTGTTTTGTAGTGATTAACATAAAAAAATGATGATCAAAAATGCGAATTTATAATTGTTAGCTTTTTCGAAATTAACAACGACATTCTGTGTGTTTTAACCACTGCGGCATATTGGACTCATTTTAAAGGTCTCTTCTTTTTGAATATTGACGACAATGTAATTTTCCCAACTTTGACGTTTCATAATCGCAAACCTCCCCGACAAATGGTTAGAATCTCTAAAGTACTGAGTTCAGCGGCATATTAGAGCAGAGTGACCTCAATATTAGTGACGGTATCAGCGCTTGAACTCTCCATTTGATGCAAATAGTTGTTGATTAAAGCGCTGTCGTTTACTAAATGCACTAATGTAAATAGCAGCAATCGGCCGGTTTATACGAGAACGGCAACAGTGTGCAAAAATATGCACAGAAATAAGTGAAATGAATAAGACGACCTCAAAACGCGAAGCCATTGCCCTAGCCTCTCGCTCGGGTGCACATTGACCTCGATAACTTCTGGTAAGCCCCATACGGAGGCTAGAAAGTCATCGCACTAGCCTCTCGCCAGTCACAGTTGACCTGAATTCTCTTCTAGTGCTAACGTTAGATACCGGGCACCCGTACTGGAGACTATTTACTACAGTCATTTGAGGATTCATCTTTAAACGACACTGTTCAGAAGTTTTTGTGTTTTGATATTCGATTGGTTTTTCACTAATACAAAATGTTTAAGATTACTTCTCATGTAGGATACGTTAGGAATTTTTAGTTCATATATTTGTTTTTGAAAATCTCTCAGTAGTCGCGAAAAATTAAAAAAAGACGGATTTTTGAGTTTTTTAGAACTCTTGTCAATCGAATTCTTCTCCTCGTATTTCATCCCTTTCCTAAGAAGTAAATATTTTGAATGTATACAGAAACAATATATTTTTTTTTGTTTTTCATTGTTTATATGTAAGCCAAAGGCAATAAAAATTTCAAATTGATTGATTCCTAAAAAGTGTAAGAATCTAATCATAATATGCACGATACTTTTTGATTTGTAAAGAAGTTTAAAGTTGCATTCAATAGAACTATGAAGAGAGAAGATACACTACGTTGTTTTTTATGCTACCCTTCAGGTCTTTCGTTAACAATACTACCAAAGTCTCTCATAGCATATACCCAAATACTTCTGTACAAAAACAATAAACCAAAATAAATTTTAGTTTTTTTGCCTTAACGTTGTTTGCGCAAAAATCATAAAATAATTCTCAGAAACTGTAAGAAATCATCACACATTTTATAGCGACTTTTTTATCGTTAATGACCTCCACGGTCACTTCAATTATCGTTGCGTATGCTATGGGTCCAGACCCCCCCCCCCCCCCGAAATGTCCGATATTAAAATAAATTGATCTATTTTTTTTGCAGACATTACAATTTTGAATCACCGATCCCCTTGCGCTCTTCAATTTTCAATGGCCGAAACCCCTCCCTCTCCCAGTCGGACATCTTCCTGAACATATGTCCAGAGCTCGTCCTAGCGCTCCAACACTTTTTGGAGCGGGTAATTTCAGGTTTATCGTACGGCCCTCAAAAATATTTCCTAGATCCGCTCCTGGGACTCAAGGTGAACTTCGGGGGTGGTGGGGGTAGATAGGGCTGAGCGAACTATTTTTAGCTGCACGAATGTAGGTTACGTCATGGATAGTTTTACATGTTGGAATATGGAATGAGCTTTCTAAAAAAACGTTGCGTGCCATTACCGGTCAGGAATTTGATGTAGCGTATCATAAGGATCGATCCGTTTCAGGATGTAACAAAACCAAGGGACTCTTTAACATAAAACTTATTACGGAATAGTAAGTTACATCAATTTTTAATGCGAACTGTTATCGCTAGCAAGCTGTTTAGAGTTAGGAAATGCTTTGCCATGACAACTGCTGCTTTTCCGATGACTCTCTCCATACTTACGCTGCTTAGAGAAGCTATGTCTGACTGACAGATGACACTTCCTTAACAGACAGACTCGAGCCGATGGGCGGTCGGTCAGCAGACTTGCTTCCAATAAGACAACAGAATTTGATCATCTGAGCTTTCCAACTCTTCTTCATAGCCGTAAGGAGAATAATATAAAATACTATTTTCTCTAACCTTGGTTATGGCTTTCGCGTCTGATCCAGTTCAAAAGAAACGATTTTGATTTCAAATATATACTATCCGTCGTTGTTTGTCCAAGCGGTCCGGTGGACCTTTGCTCTTAGCTGAAAGTCTCGACTGTTCGATACTCTTGTAAAGTCTGGATACCGCGGTACCAGATGAGTTCAAGAGGGAAAGGCAAAGATACAACGTAATAGAGGAAATAAAAGAAGAAAATCAGTTGATGTAGAAAAAGCAATAATTTAGTTGCTCAAAAACTCACGGTTTTGCTCGACTGTATAGTCTACTGAGTCACGTAACAGAGGGTTGCTAGACTTTAACGCTACCGCGCTTGTATTACGTAATGCTTTAGATTGGGATGTCAGGATCTTTAAGAATGGTTCGTTTGACACGTTCCATGAGGCGTTGGTGATTGTACGTAAGTTTTTTTTGCAGTACTCACCGAGTAAACATCAAGCCGCGCATTTATAGGTGATTGGGGGTCTAATAATGATTTTATATAACCGAATTTGGTTGATCAAACTTAATTTTAGCATAAAGATGCCGAAAAGTAATTTGGAATTTGTTTTCAAAGTATGAGTGTGTTTCTACCAGGTCACTGCTTATCGAGCGTTCCCTTGGTATACGTTCAAACA